CACTCCCAGCTCTTTAAATATTCATCCACAGATCCCAGCACAGCTCCGAAGGCCTCTACAGGGCTGTGCTCCCTCACACGGAGCACGGATTCAATTAACATACAATTAAAAAGATGAGGCAATATGAGAGCTTTAGTGCTTCATTTTGCATCACAGTGCAGCCTGATTATATTGTTTCATATTTACATTTTCAGAGCCATCAGCACTGTCTCTCTGATTAGGTGATAAAAACAGCTTTTTTCTGCCTTTGAAAGTGTTTTTTTGCTGTGGTGGATTTGAATTTTTAATAACTGAGGACCAAATATTACAGTTCTCAAACACTAAGCCAATCCCATGGCTGTGACTGAACAGCACACCTGAGTATTGGGGCAAATATCTTCCAGGAAGTTGAAAACAAGCTGAGCTGCAGCAGTGAAACCTCCTCTGAACTGGAGAAATGAATAGAAGTAATTGTTGTGGGAGAATAAAGGAGCGCAAGTGGGATTCCCGGATGCTGTGGAAATCCTGTTGTTTTCCTGCACTTGCTTAAGCTTTGACACTAATAATCTACTCCAAGTCTTCCAGCCTTGTTTTATAAAGCCTCTCTCTGTACAAGTGCTGTTATACCTCACTTTAGCTACAGAGAGTTCAGGCTCTTCCCCTGTCACCATCTTCTTTCAAGCACATCTGACTTAAATCAGCTCCTTCCACACCTCAGGCAAATCGAGGACTCGTAGATTCTGCATCTCACTTGGCTTTCAATCACTTGACCCATTTCTTTATCATCTTACTCTCTTTACAGTAGCTTTGTCATATTCTATCAGAGATTCATTCCCAGCAGCTCTCCCAGTTTCCTGGCTCTTCCCTTGAAATTGTTCTGACTAAATGATGAGCTCAAGCCTGGCACAGGGAGCTGCACCAGCAGGCACGAGGTCAGGCTTTCTTTTAGTTTGGAGAGCAAAGGCTTTATTGATCTTTTCTAATCAGAAGCACTGGGAGCAATTAGTGAGCTGGTGAATGGCCCAGAGCTCATGGACAAGAAGAGGGAGAGATTGATGTCATGTGGTCATGGGAGGGGGAGGAGAAGGGAATTAAGTTTGAGACACTTCTCACTCCAAATCCTGCAGTTTACTGAGGACATACCCCCTGTGTGTGCAGTTCTGAGGCTTCTGAGCTGTACCCAGCTCCTCTGATCTTCTCTGTGGGGTTGTATTTGCTTGTCAGAGAGCAGAACAGCAGGAGCTCTGCTGTGCTCTGACGTGCTGGGCAGCTTTTACGTCAAGCCCAGGTGTGAGCTGATGGACCTTCTGAACAGAGCTCATCAGCATGAGTGCCAGGAGAGCTGTGAGGCCACTGCTCTGCTCAGCTCACAGTGAGCAGGTTTGTGTGCATCAGAGCTTGGGGAGGTGAGAGCTGTTGGGGTGACTCAGGGTCATGGCAACAGAATCACAAACACAGAATGGCTTGGGTTGGAAGGGACCTAAAGGATCCTTTGGGTGACCATTTAAGGATCATCTGGGTTGGAAGGGACCTTAGGGATCATGTCCTTGCCATGGGCAGGGACACTTTCCATGAGCGCAGGCTGCTCAGAGTCCCATTCAACCTGGCCTGGAACACTTCCAGGGATGGGGTGTCAATTAGGATGGACACTCCAGCTGGCTGTGTGGACCTGGACAGTTAGCAGAGAGCACTTTCTAACCCTGGCTTCCTAGGGAAGAGAGACATCTCCACCTGTCCTGTCTGTCCAGCTCTCAGCTGCACCAGCAAAATGTGAACTTGTCAGTTAATTCCAGATGAATCTGGCAGAAACAGAGGGTTTGTGACAAAAGGTTCCTGCAAGCTTTATGACAAGAAACCCAACAGAACTCATAGAGAGAGAGAGGTAGAAGAAAGAGACCAAACAGTACCTTCAGCCAGGTGAGGTGGAGCCTCTGTGACTGTGAGCCACTCTCTCAGACATGTTTGCATGTGAACAACAGAGTCCAAAGCATGCACACTGCACAGAATTGAAAATATAGGCACAGGAGTAACTGCAGTTCAAATACCTTGTGAGCTTCCTTCAGATAAGCAGATTGATACTTCATCATTCCTATCATTATCATCCCCCACTTCAGTAGCAGTTTCCTCTCCTGGATTACTTGCTGATTTAGAAACAAATTCAGATTGATCAGAGAAATCAGCAGGACCTCCTCTAGGGGGTGGGACCTCAATCCCCATTAAACGATATTTCCGTCTTCGATTCCCAATCCAAGTCTTGTAAGAGAAATAAACATGAATGAAATCAGAAACTACAACAAAAGCAACAGGCCCACAACCAAGTGACATCAGCACATCTGCACTACAGGAACGAGAGTGCAGCCAGCAGCTCAGGGCAGGTGATTATTCCCCCAGATTTGACCCTCCTGAGGCTTCTCCCTGGAATCCTGTGTCCAGGTTCTATCCTTCAAGGGAGAAGGAAAGGTGCACAGCAAAAGGAAAAGAAGCAACAGTGACAAGTGGCAGCAAGGGAAGCTCTGACTGGAATTTAGAAAATAGGGAAAATAATGCTTTACAGTGAGGCACTGGAACAGTTTGTCCATAGGAGTTTGGCACCTCCAGCTGTGGAGGTACCCAGCACTTCACTGGACAACATCCCGAGGAACCAGACCTGACTCCAAAGCTAATCCTGCTCTACATAAAGTGCAGGACTAGGTGACCTTGTAAGGTCTCTCCCCACCTAAATTATTCAACCAATTTAACACAAGATCTTTGATCCAGGTTCTCCCACTCTGCACCTTCCATAAGGAGACTAAAGCATCCAATGACCCAAATGTCCCACCTGATCTAGGATTTCCTACAGCACAGAGGAAAGTGGCCAAGGTGACAGAGCTACATCACTCCACTTTGAGGACAGAACATAACTTAGCAGAGTGAAGTTCAGAGCAGCATTACCCTTCGGTGCCTTTGGTTGGAAGACAAGGCTTTAAGGAACATTGTTTGCAGTCAAGCACAGAGGAGCACACTGTGAACAGTGGTGGGAGATGAAATAGGCCCTGGAACCTGGAAACCCATTCATGGTGGGATGGGTATGGATGCTTTAAGTTCATTTTACATCAATAAAACACAGTTTCAAATGAGAAAAACAAAAGAAAAACCCACATTCAAAATTCTCCAAGTGGATCTGTACAACTATTCATTAACTTCCTTTCTCTGATAAAGTCTACACCAAGACTTATTTAAGAGTTTAACATGATGTAATAAGAATTGTCTCCAACTCTTCACTCTTAACCCTCCCCCTTCCCTTGCATTACTCAAGTTGTTCAAATTTCAGCCCTGCTCAACAGCCTTTGTACCCCAGACACTGTCCCATCCAAGTCAGTTCTCACACCTGATGTATATTCCGTAAGATCTATGCTCCACATGAGATCTATGATCCAACTGAGTTCCCAAAACATTACAATATAGGGTATTTTTTCTGTGAAGACAAACTGAACATCTCTCTGGCCTTATCTCAGACACACCTGCACTCCTTCTCTTCCCCTTCACACTTCCTGTAACAGCAATTCTGATACAGAGCATGAAAAACTTCAGTAAAAACCTCTTTGCTTATAACACTTCAACTATCAAAGAGAAAAATAAAGCAATAGTATCAGCAGTCCCAACTCCCAGATAGAGTTTCATGCTGTGCCAGCCTTGGAAAAAAACATCTTTTAAAGCTGCATCTCTAACCAGCTAAAAGCTGACGAGCTGAACACTATTTTTGGCAAACCATTTTTGTTGGGTGATGTTTGCTCTTCCAGCTTGCTGGTTTTCCTCTCTGAAGAATGCACAACAGGTCTGCAGAGAGCCACACAGGTCATTTGGGGTATTGTATAGTTTGGGGAAGTAAAATATAATAAAATAAAATAATCCTCACACACACACACAAAGATGTTTCCTTTTTTCCAAGCAGTGTGTCACCATTCTTCAAGTTTTCCCCTAATCCTGTGATGGTGATAATTAGTGCTAAGAACTAGAAAATTTAAAATAGAATCTACTTCTTCTTTTAGTAAAAAATTCAGGGGAAAACAGAGGCACTTGGGAAAGGCAAATCTTGTTCTTTTACACACCTTTCAAAGCAGACCTTTCATCCAACACACCAAACATGTCATAGCAGGTGAACATGTTTTTATAGGGTCTCAAATTAAATGGGGAAGAGAAGGAATAAGGTTCCATATCCTACATTCCACAGAGAATCTTCTGGAGTACAGTGGTGAGTGCAAGACTGGAATTCCTATGGAGGAAACCAGCCCAATAGTTATAACCCTAAAATATTATCTCCTTAGAAACTTCAAATGGTCCGTAAAGTGCAGGGATCAGACTCTTGGAGCTCCCTCCAGCAGCCAGCAGGGACCTGGGAGGCACTTCCAGCTCCAGCTGAGCAGCAGGAGTGAGGGAAGGAGGCTGAAGCCAGGCAGAAGGAGCCAGCACATGTCTGCCCTGGGGCAGCCCAGAACTCAGGGGCCTGGCAGGGAGCCACTTCCAGCTCCGCAGATATCGAGGTTAGGGTGTCAACGTGCTGAAAGATCCTGGGCTGGTCCTTCAGAAATCCCAGTTCACTGGGAAAGTCACAAGGGAAGATTCAGAGTTGTTTTTCCAAGGTGTCTCTGGATCTGAGGCAGATCCAGCCTAGGCCTGGAGCCCAAGGGGAAGCTGTGGGGAATGAGTTGCCTTTCTGCTGCCACGAGTTCATTTTGCTGCTAAACCCACACTAAAGATTCCTTTGATAATCTAACTTTTACCTGGTGATGGGCTGGGAAAGAGGAGGACGTGCCTTTACCCTATGGTGGGTGTTTAAGAGTAGCTTTTGACCTCACCTATTTCTGGAGAGGTTGATAGCTGACATCCCTCCTGCTCAAACACCTCCTGCCTCACTGCCAAAAAGGCTATTTTGCTATAAGTGAGTAAAAATGTATGAATAAAAATGAGTGAGTAAAAAGAGAATCAAATTAAATCAGCAATAATTCTAAGGCAAACAAAAGAAATATTGTAAGTTTAATGAAGTCCTGCCCAGAGTTCACCTCCTGAAATTTGCTGTGGGTGCTATTTGATGTATATATGTACTTGGGTTTATATAGATACTATTTTATATGTGCTATATTTATTTTTTACAGCACAATTCTTGCTCCAGTTCTCAAAGTCTGCCATGGAGAGGGACCAGAGGCAGAGACAGGGCAGATACTGGTGACAACACCAGTTACCAGGAGGGAAAGAAATGTTTTAATCACTCATGTGTGTATGTTCTGATCCAGGTTACGTCAGAGCCTTGCAGGGTGTATCAGAGCCTGGTGCATTTGCCCTGAAGACAAAAACAATTCAGGCAGACTGAAAGATATCCACAGACCCTCACAGTGTCATCCTGAGTGTGCCAATAAGGTTGTGTGAGCCTCACTGTCCTGTCAATAAGGTATGTCATGTCCAGGAGATGCTCTCAGTGGAAACAGCTTCACCTTTTCAGAGAGCAAATGAAGAGCTTGGAAAATAAGGAACAGCTTTGTTCTCTCCAGAGAAAAGAGTAATTCTTTTCAGCCTCCAAAAGTACAATTTCTGTTTTAGAACTCACTCAGGAAAACAAGCAAGTAAAGAACCAGATTAATGTTCAACACTGACAGCAGCTTTCGTACCACATTGGTGTACCAGCCCAAAGAGATCTCCACAAAATAAGAGTTTCAATAAGGGCTCCTAGTTCTGGTTTTGCAGCAACATCAGGGATTTGAGAGGTGGGAAAAGAGGATGAAGACTGAGAGAGCAAATCACAACTGTCAAGTCTGTTCTGAAGACCTTAGTCATGTTTTATATGACTGCAAAGGCAGTTGGGCTATCTCCTGAGGATGGAAACACCCTGAGCGGATGAGACCTCCACTATGTCTCCTGCCTGGGAACAAGTGATGCTGTACCAAACTTCCCAACCTCAGGAAGAGAAGATGTGGAATGGTTCTTGGCCATCAGTTTATCTTCACCACACCTGCACCTTCCTCAGCCACAGCTGTATGGACTATCCAACCCAACGACCAGGAATTCCTCACAGTACCCTGTGTCCTCCATCACAGCTCAACTTGGCTTCCAGACAGGCTTGTAAAAGATGTTTTTCCTACTTTGCAGCCTTTTCTTTCATACAATTTTTTCCTGTAAGCATGAATGACAAATACATTCCCTGTATCTTCAGAAAAGCCTTTTTTTTTTTTGTATCTTAATAGCAATATAAATAGTACCTTTCAGTCTTCTAGGATCTCCCTACAAGATGTAACACTTTCACTTCAAATCTTACTCAAGAGAATGTCAAACAGCTCCTAGTGCTGCTGATCAATAAGACTCTTACCTGAGGGCTTGTACTATATATAGACTGCAGAAAGAGCAGGAGAGCACTTCCCAACATGGTCATTCATTATGTAATACGTGAAATCTATTTCAAGCTTCCTCATGAAATTTTTAAAGCCTTTCATCTGTCCTATTTTTTGCTCCTGCCATGAGATAAGGGAAGACTGGAGATTTCTTACCCGCACTATTTCACAGTCAACATTTAATTCTGCAGCCACAGCTTCAATTTTCTCTCTGCAGACTGAGCCCAGGCTGGTCATGCCATTGTCCCAGTATTTCTTTAGGGTGGCTAAGTCTCGGTCACTAAATTGTGTTCGGTCCTGTAACTGCAAGATAAAGAAAATACTGTTAAATTATTTAAAAAAATAAAAATCTGCTTATACTGATCATTTCCTTTCCAGAGCTACAGTAAGACACATATGTTGTACTGTGGCTTTTCTTCTCTTGGAACTCTCCCTGAAGATTTATTGTTACAAAGTTTGGGTTTTCAATCCAGGGCAGCTCAGAGCTCCCTGGGATTTGCTTTAAAGGCAGTGGCAGTGCCAACACAAGTTTAAAGCACTTCAGCCTTGTTTCAACTCCACCTGGTTTCCTTTGCACTTTGTTTTATCTCATTCTATAAGGCCTTACTGAAAATAACTTTTTTTCCCCTTGCGCTGTTTACTCTCTCCACCCAATTTATGCAAATTACCCCTTAAGGCTTTTCAAGTTTCTCACCCTCC